CCCCAAAACCCCAAAACCCCAAAACCCCATAATTATAATATGCTTAACTAGAATAGTTTAGGAGAATTATAAAATTTCAAATAAAATTTATTTACTTACCACAATTATAAATCTTAAAAAATATTTCTACTGCTAGATGACTAATCAAGGATAAGCAATTAAATTTAGAAGATTCTTTTAGAATGCAACTTATTCTGATAGGATTTTGATGATAATTGGAACTTTATCTGCTATCACTACGGGTGTTTTACTTCCACTATTTTCAATACTTAGCGGGTAATTAGCTGACACTTTTGATCCCAAGAATACTCCCGAGGATATTAAGTAAGCTATGAATGTAGTATCAGCATATATTGCTCTATTAGGATTTGGAACATGGCTTTTTGCATATATTTACTTTTCATTCTGGTAGCATGTGGCAGAAAACATTGCATTTAACCTCAGAGTAAAATATTTAAAAGCAATCCTGCAACAAGAGGTAGAATACCTAGAAAGTATTAATATAGAGCAGCTTCCTTCTTAAATAGGGGAAAACTTTACCATAATATAAGAAGCAATTGGATAAAAATTCTCAACAATCATATTTGCTATCTTTAATCTAATATCAGCAATGAGTATAGCATTAGCTAGAGGAGCAGATCTCGCTGCAATTTTTCTTGTGGTCTTTCCTATTATGTTTATGATGCTATTGATATTCGGTGCTTAAGTAAAAAAGGGATCAATCTTAAAATCAAACGTTATAAGAAAGCTTGGAGGCATTGTTGAGGAAAGTTTAATGAGTATCAGATTAATTACTTCATTTGCTCAGTAAGACAAGGAGATTGAAAGATTCAACGAAATTTCAGATAAATGCAGTGAGGTTTCTGACAAAGCAGAGTTCTGGGTATCAGGATTTCTAGGATTTCTGAAGTTTGCTATCTATGGGTTTTATTCTTTTAACTTTTGGCTTGGAACCATATATATTGAGCATAAAAAAATAAACCCTAATACTGGATCTAATTATACTGTGGGAGAGATCATATCTATCATAGTAGCATTAATGAATTGTTCATCAATGACATTTTAACTGAATCCCAACTTATAGGCAATTGTAAAAGCTAAGTTAGTTGGTCGTCAAATATTTGACGTCATTGACAGGGTTCCATAAATTAACGACTCAGATCAGAGTATTTCATAGTTTTAACTGAATCATTGCATCAAGTTTTAGAATGTTTCGTTTACATATTCAAAGTCAAAAAAGCAGATAATAAAGGATGCTACCTTTTAAATAAGAGCAAATGAATCTACAGCAATTGTGGGTCATTCTGGGTGTGGAAAAAGTACGATTATATAATTAATAGAAAGATTCTATAATACCAAAAATGGAAATATTTTCCTAGATGAGATCAACATAAAAAATATCAAGTTAAAAACTTTGAGAGAAAGTATAGGGTATGTTTAATAGGAGCCAGTATTGTTGATGGGGTCCATAAAGGACAATATATTGTTTGGAAATAAGGATGCTACCGATGAAGAATTAGATCAAGCAATAATGATGGCTAATGCTTCATTCATTTATTAGCTTGAGAACAAACTTGATACTTAGATTGGTTCATCAAATATTTTAAATCTCTCAGGTGGACAAAAATAAAGAATAGCTATAGCAAGAGCTCTAATAAAACATCCAAAGATTTTGATTTTGGATGAAGCTACAAGTGCTCTTGATCCGAAGAGTGAAAGAGATGTTTAAACTGCTTTCAATAACATTTAAAGTTCAGATCGCAAACTTACAACAATTATGATAGCTCATAGACTATAGACTATCATGAGTGCTGAGAATTTAATATATCTAGATCGAGACTATAAAATATTTTAGGCTTCCAAAGGCTCATAACTCTATGATGAGATAATGGGAAGATTGTAGAATGAACAAGTATAAGAAGAATAATAAGACATAGACAGTCCTAGTCCTCTATCAAAAAAGAAAAATGAGAACTTCTACTCAGATTTAAGAATTGAAAATCACGAATAATCTTTCTATAGGCTGAATACAAATAGGGACATGGAAAATAGTGAAGCATTTGAAAGATCTTAAAACACTATAAATCCAATTACATAATCTGATGAAGTGAGTAATGATACTATGTACGGAATAGGCCATGTCATGAATTACTATCGACCTTACTCAAAAGTTTTTGTCTAATTCCTTGCCACATTAGGTAGTGCTTTTTCTTTTCCTCTATATGGATTCATTTTTTCGAAAATTGTGTTCGTTATGCTCAACTCAGCATCAGATAACTTCATTAATGAAAGAAACTTATGGTGTAGTTGCTTTGTTGGGCTGTCTGTTGCAATGGGATGTTTTGACTGGCTTAATAAATCTTTAAGTGCATCACTCTGTGAGACAATGACAAATAATATTAGAAAATAGCTATATGCAGCAATTATTCGAAAGAATATTGGATGGTTTGACAATAAAACTAGAGCGCCAGGTATTTTGAGTAATATGATCCAGGAAGATATCTCTCAACTTAAAGGACTTACTAGTTAGACTTATTCTAGCCTATTAGAGGCTATTCTTTGTCTAGGAATCGGTGTTGTATTGTCTTTTATCTATACATGGAAGATGGCTCTCGTTGCTTTAGCTATCTCACCACTTATCATAGCAGGAGGTATTGCTTAACAGTTAATAATATGGAATAGTGCTAAGAATTCTAACAAATAGAGTGTAAAAGACACTGGAAAATTAGATCCTTATGACAAAGCAAACGCTCTTTTGTCCGATATTATTATAAACTATAGAACTGTACTAAGCTTTGGTGAGAAGAATATTGAGTTTTTGATATAAAAATATGATGATTTATTGGAAGAACCTAAAAGGATTGGAATCAAGAGTGCTCATATTAGTGGATTCTTCTATGGATATACTACTTGTATCAGATTCTTATTTATTGCTTTCGTATTTTATATGTCATCGATTTTCATCTTTGAGTATAATGACAAGCCTGAGGACACATATATTGGAGTATACACTCTTTTTGTTGCTGCTTTGGGTACTGGTACCTTGCTTTCTTAAATGCCGTCTGTAAATAAGGCTAAAAAAGCATCCCAAAAGATCTTTAGCATTATTAATGATATGAGTAATCATAGCGATAGTAATCATCAAGAAATAAGAAATATCACTAATGGATAAATAGAATTCAAAGATGTTACTTTTAGATATCCTTCAAGACAATAAAAAGTTCTAAATAAGTTAAGTTTCAAAGTACCAGCTGCAAGTAAGATTGCAATAGTAGGGCATTCTGGATGCGGTAAGAGTACCATAGCTACTTTGCTATTACAACTTTATGAATTTTCTGATGGCTAAATATTTATAGATGGAATTGATATTAAAGACTATAATGTAAAATCACTTAGATAATAAATTGGCTATGTAATGCAAGAACCATTACTATTTAATATGAGTATCAAAGAAAACATCCTCTATGGAAACGAAAATGCAACTGACGAGTAAATAAGAGAAGCTGCTGAAATGGCAAATGCTTTGTAATTTATTGAGAATTCTGAGGATTCATCACATATCAATAGTGAGAATAGTTACCAATAAACTCATGTTTCCCTGAAAAAAATTCTAAGATTTCCAAATTTTAAGAAAAACTACTGCAACCTTCTTCCTCATCTTAAAGAGAGTTTCAAAAAGGTATAAGATGATAACTAGCAGTTGAGACTGATTCTAGAAATTATTAAAAGAGCAGATTAAAATTTGATGATGTTGATTAATATCAGACCAGAAAGTTTTATCAAATCAATTTAAACTTGTTTAAAGCAGGATAAGTCTGTTAAATGGCAAGACATAGTACTTAATTTTGAATGGAAGTTCTAAGCAAGTCTCATTAAAGCTCAGGTTAATTAGATCAAAATGAGCAGCAATTTTTAAAAATAGATTTTAGAGGCTTTGAAAACTAAGAAAAATTAATTTGATATACAAACTATAAAATCTTACCAGGCATAAATAGTCTTGAATCCTGAAGAAATTGGTATGAAATCATTTGAAGAAGTAATTAACGCTGACTATGATAGAATTAAACACTAAAATGACATCAGAATATCATCCTTAGTTTACAATCTGAAACAGAAAAGTAAATTTAAAAAGAAATCCGCAAAGATTTAGTAATTAGATGAAACCTCCATATAATCATCGCTTCATCCAGGGTTTAACAAGATTTGTGGGCTTAAAGGTTCAATGCTATCAGGAGGATAAAAACAAAGAATAGCAATTGCAAGAGCTTTAATTAAAGATCCTAAAATAATGATTCTAGATGAAGCCACCTCTGCTCTAGATGAATAATCTCAAGAATGCGTTTAGAAAGCATTAGATAGAGCAATGGAGGGAAGAACTAGTATCGTGATTGCTCACAGGCTAAGCACAATTAAGAATTGTGAGTGGATATTAGTACTTCATCATGGAAAAGTAATAGAATAAGGTACATTTCAGTCCTTATTAGAAAATGAAAATTCCTATTTTAATAAGCTTAAATCCGGAATGGAAATGTGATTAAATTACTGCAAATGACAGCTAATGCTAGAAGATTTTAATATCTAAACTATAAAGTATTTATTCCTGCTTTTGATTTTATTAAAAGATAACAGATGATTTGATTTTAAAAATAGAGAAAAATTTTTGCTTTTTTTTTATTTTACATATATCTTCTCGAACGGGGTTTTGGGGTTTTGGGG